ATCTCCCATCTCCCACCATGAGATGCAACCCTCTCACCAGTAAATCTCTGCCATGGAGAAAACTATGCCAAGCAAAAGAAGGCCGAGAAGGAATTGTGACCTCAAGGAATTCTCCCTCCGGAAAGTAAATACTCTTCAACAACCTTGAAAGAAGGCAAGACGGATCATGTAGAACACGCCAAGACTGTTTTGCCAAAAGGGCCTGATTGAAAAGCGCTATATTTTTAAACCCCATTCCTCCTTGATGCTTAGGCAAACACATCTTGTCCCAACTGATCCAATGAACCTTACTTTTGTGCTCAACTGTACTCCACCAAAATTTTGCCATTAATGTTAGCACAAACCAAGACAAGGAGTTTAAAAACCATCATAGCGGAGACAGTCATTGATGTGACCACCAATTTCAATAGCACTTCTTTACCCCCTGAAGATAAGGTTCTAGCATAGAATCCGGACAACTTCAACTTAACTCTATCTTTTATATAGCCCAACAATTCCACCTTTGATCCACTAAAACACTCCGGCAGTCCCAAGTACTTCCTTGCACCACCTTCACTAAAGATTTGGAGATGGAATTGGATGCTCAGCTTAGCAGAGAGCGAGACTTTAGACCTAAAGGAGATAGAAGACTTAGCCAGGTTTATTGTCTGTCCAATAGCCTTCACATATCTATCAAGAATCTGCTTCAAAACTGACGCTTGATGCAAATCAGCTTTACACAAGAAGAGGCTGTCATCCGCAAACAAGAGATGGTGAATAGAGGGACCTGATTCTGAGAAACAAATTCCATTCAGAAGACCCTCTTTCTCGGCTTTATTCAGCAAATGAGTCAACCCCTCCGTACATAAGACAAAGAGAAACAGAGATAAGGGATCCCCTTGTCTCAATCCCTGTTGCGGCACGATGAGACCATGAGGGTTGCTATTAATGAGTACCGAGAAAGATACTGAGGTCACGCAAAACATCACCCACTGCACCCACTTGTCATGAAACCCTAAAGCCACCAATAATGATCTCAAGTAGCTCCATTCCATCCTATCATAAGCTTTTGACATATCTGTTTTTATAGCCATGTAGTTTGCCGAGATTCTGCCATTAACTCAAAAAGCATGAACTAAATCGTGAGCAATCGCTATGTTGTTAGAGATAAGCCTATCTGCCACAAACGCAGACTGATTGACAGAGATAATATCTGATAAGAATGGCTACAACCGCTTCACTAGGATTTTTAAGACCATTTTGTACAATACTGAGCAAAGGCTAATAGGACGTAAGTCCGACATAAGCGAGGGATTTGTAGTCTTTGGCAGAAGACAAAGATGAGTATAATTCCAATCGCAAGGGAAGGAACCAACCTCAAAGAACCAATGAACCTCTTCCACCACTTTATCACCCACAATAGCCCAATAATGCTGAAATAATAAGCTTGACATATCATCAGGTCCAGGAGCGCTCGAAGGTTTGATGGAGAAAACAGCCGATATGGTTTCCTCCTTCGATACGATCTTAACGAGCGAAGAGTTAGTCTCATCTGTGATCCTTCATTGAAAATCTTTAAACCACGAGTCAAATGGAGGAGGATTTGATGATTTGAACAGCGTGCTAAAATAGTCAGCGGCAACACCTCCTTTAGCAGCTTCAGACCTTTGCAATACCCCATTAAGATCTTGTAGAAACTCTAAATTCAATTTGTTCCTATTAGACTTTACAGCCGCATGATAGAATTTCGAGATTATGTCCCCATGTCTATGCCATTTGACTCTACTCTTCTGACCCCAAAACAACTCTTCTTCCCTATACGCGATTCTCAGTTCCCATTTCATCCAGCTCACTCGGGATTGGTTGGGGGAATAGGATGACTGCTCACACTCCAATTCTTTTTCCAGAAAGGCAGATTTATCACTGGAGTTGACCGGATTCGCCCTATCAGGGCAGATTTATCACTGGAGTTGAGCAGATCTGCACCTTCGAAGCTTCTCGGATATTGAAGGTCCAGCAGTAAGCTTCTGACCCGACCAAGCGTTAAGCACTGATTCTCTCACTGCCGGCTTAAAGAAGAACCTTTTGTCAAACCTGAAATGCCCTCTATAAGTTTGTTGAGACGACACAAGGCTGATCAAAACCGGTCTATGATCTGAACCTCTTTTATCCAAGAAAAGCTGATTAGTAGCAGGGAACTGCGAAAACCAACTTGTATTTCCAAATCATCTATCCAGCCTCGACTGAACCCAAATATTACGTCTCCACCCACCCCACGCTAAACGATTGCTTTTACTTTCCAACTCTGTCATCTCACAAACCTTCAACATGTTTCCGAAGGCCAGAAAAGATGTATCGAGACGTCTAAGACACCCAACTTTTTCTCCATGATGTAATATTTCGTTGAAATCTCCAAACATACACCAACTATCCTTTCTTGTTAGCCCTATACGGGAGAGACGTTCCCACACTACCGCTCTTCCATTAGCTTGCGGACAACCATAAACACAGGAAACAAAGAAATTCACCGCCCCAAACTGAACTTGAATATCCATCAGGTTCTTATTTACAAACAAAAAGTTTATATTTACACCTTTCTTCCAAAAAAGAGCCAAACCACCACATGTGCCAACCGGAGTTACAGTAAAAACTCTATCATAACCCAACCATTGTTGAAAATCTACCAGAACATCTCTACAATTCATCGTCTCCATCAAGAACATCACCTCAGGGAAGTGTTTTTTAGCAGCTCCTTGAGGCGGGGAATTGTCAAGTCTTGAGGCCGCCTCAAACCTTGGCAATTCCAGCTCATAAGACTCATTGGGTGTTGGACAGTCTCTCAATTGAGACTATCAATGGTTTGATACGACATGTATCGGCATTCCCTGAACCCTCTACTTCCCCCACTTTACGCTTAGCCTTCTTGTTTGGAATTCCTTCCTCCATATGCTGAGAACTTTGGAGCAGGAGCATTTCCGCTTTCTTTCTTCTAGTCTTATAAGGCTTTTTTCGAGGTTTTCCAGACTTCAGGTAAGCCCCAGAAGGACCAGCCTCAGAGAGACTACCCCTAACCGTAGAGCCAAACTGAAAAGATTGACCATCTGAAGATCCAACAGTAGAGCCTTCTGACCGAACTTCAACCGGATAAGATAACCTTGTCAATGCACTCCCCGCCCTAATAGCCGCTGACATAAGCTTTACCAGTTCTTCCAAAGATTTTCCAGTAGAGATCTTTCTAACTTTCTCAGAAAAGTCAAAAACTAATCCCTTCCCTTTACCCAAATCAGTCGACACCAGCGCAGGAGCCTCTAAGCACAAAAGAGATTTATGCGCAATCGGATCATCCATTGCCTTGGACACGGACTTCTGAACTCTGAGCTCCCTAGCTTTCCTTTCAGGTCCCTCTGCTCCTGCTAGATATTGCCTCATCTCATCTAGCACTTCAACAGCTATGCGAGGCCTACCCGAAGCTGGATCGAAGCCAACTTGATGCTCAAAAAGGACACCAAACAGAGGATCACCATCTTTAAGAAGAGGAGAAAGGAGTTTGTTTTTCTCACTCAGGACTTGTTGCCTCCTCTCAGCCGCTCTATCCTGGTTCCTCTTAATAATCCGCGGACACTTAATATTATCATGAGTAAGCATTTGACAGGAGACGCAACGCCTTTGAATCTTCTCATAGAAGTAAGAGATGATAATCTGAGCTTTCGAAGGTAGATTGATAACTTTGATCCTCCTCATAGGCTTGGAAACATCGAGCGCCACCCTTACTCTAACATAATCTTCTTTCTGAGGTTGGGTCGGATCAAAATTGCTTCTAACACCCTTCCCGCGAAACCTCCAAAAGCCATAATAGTATCCAATGTATAGTTGTTCACCGGGATGTTCTTCATCTGTACCCATACTGGCAAAAACTTCAGGTAATCTTCTGGTGGATTCTCTATCCATCTATCAAAAATGATAGACCACTCGTTGAAACAATACACGGCATTTAAAAGAATCTCTTCCATATCCTTCTCAAACTTGAAGAAAAACTGGAAACGATCCTTTGAAAGAGCCACTCCTCGGATTCGATCTGGTTTCAACCATTTCTTCAGCATTTCAATAATGAACTTTGCCATATTCTGGAACTCAGGGTTGAGAAGACGACCCAGAATACTGTTACCATTATATACCACTCGAGTTATACTGTGGTAGATCTGGTAGATCGAAAGGCATCTCATCCTTGTCGAGAGAGAGAGATCCTTCATAACTTTTTCTATATTTGGAGACATACACTTTTAACGAAAACACCACCAATTTCCACTAGAACCACCCCAATGAGAACGAGAATCCACGGAATTCCACGAATCCACAATCACTCCACTGAGAAATTTGATTCTTGTTCTTGAAATTCGTCGAAAATGTGAACAAAAACGAAGAAAACACTATTCTGGATAAGAAAATTGGTAAACAAGCAACGAGAACCACTTATTTCTTATCTAAACCACTGACGAAACACTCTGATTGGAAAAGAAGGTCTTAAGCGAAAAAAGAGATTCTGAATGAAATTTGATGATTGAATACAAAATTTAAATCTGAGTATATTTTATATTATAAACATATCTAAAGTTCTTTAAATAAGTAACAGTTTTTATTCTCTCTCCATTTTTTTCTTTTTTAATAGTTGTTTATTATTTAGATAGTTGATAAAATCACCAATAAAGGTGGCCTAAAGTTAACAATGGTGTTATACTTAATTATTTTGTAATTATTTTTTTCCAATTTGAAGTTTTCTACATATAGACATTGATAGATATTTTTTCCTAGCTCCGCCACTGTATAAATGGTCTAAGGTTAATAATGGTGTTCTAAAGTTATATACATAATTACTTTGTAATTGGAGTTTTCTAAGGTCAACAATGAAGTTTTCTACATAGACGTTCATTTAAATAATGTGAAACAATTTGACAACTCCAACATGTGAAGCATTTATTGACGGTCATTTGTTTCCTAAATGTTGAAATATTTTGAAAATGGAAATGCGTATTTTACTACTCTTATCTTTTTCTCTTTATTTCTTTTGACCAAACTGTTTTTGGTTTTTTCTCATAATTAAGAGATCACATGTTTCTTGAATAAGGTTCATAGTCTACTTATAAGAATATGCAACGATTTTGAAGACGAAGACATAAGAGAGAGAAATTATCAGCGATACAATGTTGAAGATCTATACTTTAATGTTTGTATTGCTTGTTGCAAGAACAATGGCATTCAAACCATATGTTGGATGTAGCCAAACGAAAGGTTATGGCGATTTGATTTTGTGTGCTCGGTCTCTAAGGCTGAATTCACCATTTATTCCTCCGATACCCAATGTTGTAACAATTTAAAAATGGACAAAATGTATTGCCTCTGCGAAGCTGTTATCCCAACTTTTGGCCAAAATTTTGACTTTTTTAAACTTGGCCAACTCTTTCACGCATGTGGCGATGTAAAACCTCCTGGTTCTTACTGCGGAGGTAAGTAACATTAGATTTACATTCTGAAGTTTATTCATTTTCGAATTCAGCTTCATATATATATATATATATATATATATATATAATATTTTTGTGTTGATGTTTCAGTATACAAAATTCCTGGTGGGGCTTAAGAGGAGAAGAATTCTTCTCAGGTTATCTGGCATTGATGAAAAGAAGACTATTATCATATCTTAAGTTGTATGATTTACATCATATGTTGTGAAGAAAATTACCTGATTTTCATTAGTAAAATGAAGTTCTTTGATAATGGATTTTTATTTTATTTATAATAATTGATATGAGAAAGATAAGGTAATGCAATAATTTCCATAATGAAGAACCAACTTTAAATACTACGAATAAATAAACTTCAGATACGTTTCCAATACGTGCTATTTGCTAGCGAGAATAAAATTATGAGGCCATCCATAACAAACTGAAAATTGCTCAAAAGAACATCACAAAAGATACGAAAAGAATCGGAAACCGGAAACCTGAACCCCCCGGATCCATATACCCACCGATAAGAACACTTTCCTGTTCCACGGCACGGCATCGGGCTCAATCTTAGTCGTAATCCATATCTGCTGTCATTGTGGAGATTGACGCTCATAAGATAAAGCTTATATAATCCAATTGGCGTCTCTTTGTAGATCTCTGGTTTCTTGATAATTAAAGTGTTCCATTTTTTGCAAGTGAGTGGCATTTCGTGGACTTTTATATGTGGCCCAAGAAAATTTTATGAATATATTCAACGTTCTGAAAGAGACAACATTTCTTCTAGCAGAGGCGATCACATGTACAAAATGTTTGCTTGCTGATGATACAAATGAGACCACTGCTAGTGAAAATACTCCTAAACCATCTCTTGCACTAACATCAGCGCTTGGAGGGAAAAAATGCAATAACGATAAACCTTAATGTTTGAGATTTTACCTAAAAAAACCTTAATGTTTGAGATTTCACCTAAAACCCCAAAAAAACATGATGTATCGGTTAACGCATACTAAACTTTAAATATACCATTAATGCAAATTAAACTCTAGACGCACACACCGTTTTCTTAACCCGCTAGTTTTTTTGCTTTCTCCACATCATCTTTTGGTGAAATCTCAAATTTCTGGATTTTTTGTTCTTTATTTGCAATTTTTCCTCGCTTGTAGAGCAATTCTCTTAAGGATGCATCAAAGAAGAATACAAATGTGTTTACAAGGTGGCAGCAACGTAAAGATTGAGTTGAGTATGTCACCCACTACTAAGACTACTTCCTCATAACTTACAAGCAGTACTTATATCATATAAACCAGCACTGCTCAATGGTCATTCACTTATTTATGCAATAAAAATAAACAACCGTTTTGTCAGAATAATAATAATAATAATAAACAACCGAAAGTATTTAAGTAGAATTATACGAAAAGGAGGAATGAGTTGATATTGTAAATACATCCCTGCAAACAAAATTACGGGACGCTTGTGACTTCATATTCATGCTCTATTTTCAGAGGAGATTCCTTTGAAACAGGTCGGTCTTCAGACCATAGCTCCAAGTTCACAGTTCCACAGTCCCAGTGGACAATACATTTGACGACTTGACTAACATCAAACCTGTTTACTAGCCGTAGATTGAGGCTCTTATCCACCAGCATCCATTCACCTAAAAAAAAACAGATGAAGATTATTCTCACAAAATGTTACACGATCCATGGGATTCAGGAGTCGTTCTTCTGCCAAAACGGTTCATGGCTTATGTTGATCAATAAGGAAAGGCTCTTTCATAGGTTAAAGCCAAAACTTTGGTAAATGGAATTTTACGTTCTTCAGTTAAACTCTCAAGTGTTTCTATTTGTAGCTATTGACTAAAACATGAGAACACTGTGAAGAACGTACCATGTGGGAGGTTGTTCCCTTCATATAAATTCTCTCCAGAAACTGGCCAAACTTCATGCTTTGAACCATCAATCGACGTGAAGGAGACAAAAGATTCGGTTGGATGAAAAAGAGTGAAAGTTGGATGGACTCTTAAGCATGCAAGCCTGTTTAGTAATCAGCACCAAAAGGACCATCATTTTACATACAGAAGAAAAAAAATAGTGACATAAAATTTGAATCATAATCTTTCAACTGCCAGGAATAAAACCTTATCTTGGCTCGCAAGCAATCTATTATCTGCATATTTTACTAAAAATATACGCAACAAGATTGGTTTTCATTTCTCTGCTACTGCTATGTAACCTTGCAAGAATGTTCTGACTGCCAAATCTTGCAAATTGTCTTAAGGGGAATTCATATGGAAACTATCACTACACCAAAAACGTTGGCATGGCAACAAAAAGAAAAGAAAAAGGAAGCGTGAAGGAAGTAGACTAACCTTGAAAATCCACCAGAACCAGCACCAACACTACGGGCTTCAATGCTACAGTCAATCCGAAGAACTCGGGGATTTTCTTTGGGTATGGCGATTTTACGCCGAAGAACCAGTCCTCCTCCTACATCACCTTCTAGGATAAGAGATTCTTTCTCTCCTGCATGTTCCAAATCCTCCCTACACGAGATGGAACAATCACTTCAGTAATAGAAATATGCATGTGTGAGAGAGATCTTCAAGGTAAACTCACTCAATGATATTATATTCCTCAGTACATCCAGCAGAACGGTACTCAGTACCACTGTACTCTTCATAACCATTGATATCTATTCTGCTATGAAGCCATTGAACTCCTGCAAATTTTAATCAACCAATTTTTTTAAGCTCTGCAAGTTCTTAAAAGCTATGATCATAAACCTCCTCCACACCAAAAATGATGATGGTATCTCATTCATCAACATAAATTATCTACAACTTTTTCAAGACTGACAGTATAAAACAAAACAGTTTATTAGTATATTATTACCTGATGGAACATGTGCCATAGATAATATTCTTCCACCAATCCAAGGAATTATATTAAGTTTCCAATCACCACTATTTAGCTCAACTGGCACTCTTGAAAGTTCTGCTCCCTTTTGTCCATTTACAACTTCCTTCTCAGGTATCATTTTTGTATTTTCTACATTTCAATAACACACATGAAAGACACTATGCAAGTAAATGACTGTGAAAATTAGAATATGAGCGTAGTATAGTTATTTCATGATGATGTTCACAAATTCATGCAAATGGGTATTTCTTGAATTATATGTTAAAAGCAAAAGCTATAATGATGACCACAATAAAGAACATAGATGCATCATAAAGCTAATTAAAGGACCAGAGGCAACAAAACTCAATAACTACAAACCTGATTATATATATACAAGTAGCTATATACATATATAGAAGATGAGATTTACCCATATGAAGTTTAAAGCGCTCGTTGCTAGTGGATATTAACTCTGAAACTTCACTTTCTGAAGGCACTTTAATTTGGATAATATCTCCATCCATTCCCCAAGCATCAAGCTGTTCAACATTATCTAGATTTATATGTGTTGAACGTATAAAATTTCTTAAAACAAGAGAAAAGAGAAGTATACCATTGCACCGCCTCCTAGTAATAATTGTACATGAACACGACGTTTTGGCCTCTGCCAATCTCCTTCAGTTTTTGCAACATCGACAGTAACAGTGGAACAATGGCTCTCAGCAATGTAATGTGTAATTAGATATCTGCCTTTAGTGTAGCCATATCCATCTCCATCATCCTCGAACAAGAGCCCTACAGCTTTTCCTAACAGAGACAAAAGAATTAAAATCCTGATTATTATTATGAATCAGTTGCAAGATGAACAAATGAAGAATATTAGGAAGCTAAAGTTACCATTTTCATCTAATGATACAAGTAGGGTCAAGTCATCTGAGAGACTAAATTCCCCAACGTGTAGATGTGGAGGAGCCAATGCTATGATGGATCCACCTTGTAAATATAATGTTGGTAAATCCTGAAACCGTGAAAGGAGTAAGCAACATGTGGAAAACATAAAACATAATCTAAGTTATTTCCCAAAGAAAGGAAATCACAAATGTAAGTAACTTTACCGGATGTGAATCTTGAAAATCAAACCTCAACCATATTCCTTTGGGCAATATATGCTGCATCTCATGTGATCCCTGATTGGATAAAGTGCTAGAAAAAATGATGGAAACAACCAAAAACGGCTTGATAAGTATAAACTTTTGGCAGATTTAAACTACAGAGCAACTCACAAGAATTATTAAACAACACTTTTCCTACAAGTTTTTACAAGATGAAATTTTTAATGATGACAGTGTTGAATTTAGTTGTGATTTAGAAACACCTTTATGACCAAACTTCATAATTATCATGCCCAAGAAATGGTTCTAATTAACATTCTAAAACTCCTGAATGTGATCACTTGTTCCGAAACTTCACTCGAAAGAAAAGCAGTGATTCTGAATGGGAAAAAGAAAACCTTGCATATATGAGAAGTGGACCTAGAAGAAAGGCGTTTTCAATAGTCCTTAGCTGAGAATCCTTTGGATCTGCATGTGCAAAGACAAGAAAGAAAATTAGAGCAAAAGATCATAAGTTCAAAAGTTGGAACACTATATTTTACCAAAAACTTACCAGCAAAAAAGATTGGAGATGCAACCGGAGCACCAGTTGTATGGGAAATGTAAAATAAAGTGTAAAAATGTGGCAAGAGTTGGTAACGCCTCTTCAATGCAGTTCGACAGACCTCCTCACACTGATTAAAAAGCTATAATAAGTAACAAGCAAAACAAAATCCCCAAAAAACGGGAAATTGACTTTCTTTACAAGATTGCAATCATAACTTAACCTTTCTAATTACTAGATATATACTCGTGATACGCGCAAGTCTGTATTAATATTTTAGTTTAATATTTTTTAGCTATTATCTTTAAAATTATTAAAAATATAATATATTTATAAAAGTTTTTATTTATATAAGAGAATTTAATATATAATGTGTAATTTATCCTATTTTTATTTATAAATTTTTAAAAATATTAGATAAAATAATAACAATGGCACCTATCGAATTATCCAACTTTGACGTACATATACATTTGATTTAGAAAAATATAATTTTGCTAACTTTTTGGTATTATTTTCTGTTTTCCATAGAATTTCTATAGTTTGAATGTTTATGCGTTCAAATACTTAGTTTTTTTTATTAAAAATCTTATTGATGTGGTGTACCACTTCATATATATTATATGATTCATGTTGATTCGTATTTAATTTTGTTAGGAAGCTGTAATGATCTTGCCACATGTCTTCCAAGAGTTTTATGTTATATTTTTATTCAGTTTTCATTGTTTTAATTGTTAAATCGAGTTGTTGTAGATTTTTTTAAATTGATAATTTATAATGGTTACTTTTTTTATACATGTATTGTTAATTATTAATTTTTTTATTTAACTTTTAAATTTTTAAACTATATTAATATTTTTGATTTAATAAATATGTTGATTTAGATCAATCAGATTGAATTTTTTTTTGTTAGACATAAATTGTTAAATTAACTTTTAATATTTTAATTATCTTTAATAATTTTTGGTTTGATTTAAAAGCTGATGTGGACCAATTAAATCAAGTTTTTCCGTCCTAATCATACTTAACATTTTTTATTTAATGAATATGCTGATGTGGACCAATCAGATCAAGTTTTTTAATCCCATGTGGACGCCATCAATGCACTATGCCCTCAACTTTTATATATTACTAGGCTTTTAACTTGCGCTACGCGCGAGTCTGTATTAATAATTTGGTTTAATTTTTTGGCTAATATCTTTTAAATTATCAAAAGTATAATATATTTATAGAAACTTTCTTTTATATAAAAAATTAAAACATAATATGTAGTATTTATTACTTTTGTTTATAAAATTAAAAATCGTATTAAGTAAAATCATAGTAACGACACCTAACGAATTATCCAACTGCGATGTCATATGTTTGATTTAGAAAATGATTTTCTTACTAAATTTTTGGTGTTTTGTTTTGTATCCTTAGAATTTCTATGGTTCTTTTTTTAAAAAAGTTTATATGTTTAAATATTTAGTTTTTTTACTAAATGTCTCACTAATGTTGTGTATATATACATATATAATAAATGATATATGTTTATTCAGATTTACTTTTGTTAGTAAGCTACATTAATCGTGTAAAGCTGTATTTTACTTCTCCACCAGATCTTCTACGAATTTTAGGTTATATCTCTATTCAGTTTATAATATCTGTTTTATTTGCAGTCAATAATTTGCTAATATTTGTTTTTAAACATGTAAGATGATGTTGAGACTTCACATTATCACTGTTTTTTTTTTATATTTTGTATGTTTATTCATGTTTTGATTTGAATAATTTATCTTCATATATTCCCATTTGAATTTGATTCATAACTTTGTCATATTATATTATTTAAATAAAATTTTAGAGGATGTTGCTCATGTGTTGTTCATGTTGACTAAGTTATAAACAGTAAATATGTATACAAATCAGACTTTATTACTTATTATATCTTGAATGTAAAGTTACTTGTGTAGTATTTTACTTGGTTAATTTTTCAACCAGACGCAACCAAAGTATTAGTCTTTGTAAATTTAAATAATATGTTTAATTTAGAAACTTGTATATCATATTAAAAATTTATATGGTTATTCATAGTCAACACCAATATTTTAGAAATTATGAATGTTTTTGGAACTATATTTTAAACTAATTTTCTTCTTAGATCTTGTTTTTTTTTTAAATATCTTCGATGTCAATTTTATATTTTATTTTAATTATCTAATTTTCTGCAGGTTTGATATACTTAAAACATATATATTTTTAATTAATCTCTTTTGTTATTGGTTTTTCAAATAGGTAGCATATATATTAATCTAATATCTTTTACATAAATGCTTTTTATTTGTTAAATTTACTTTTTAAATTAATTAAAATACTATTTTGACATGCTGTAACTGGTTATTCTAAATTTTAAGTGAATTTATCTCAAAAGCTTATACCATCATTTGCTTTTTTTAGTTAATATTTGTTTGGTAGTTAGCCTAAATATCAAGCTAATTTTACTTTATACGACTTTTCTTTTGATAATTTACCTCTCTTGATATTAATTTTTATTTTACTTTAACACACCATTGTTTTTAAAGTACTGATATTTTGAAGACATAAATTTTTTGTTAGTTAAATATTTTTATATGATTTTTTTAAGTAGTTAGTCAGATATCAAGTCAATATATTTTTAAGTGTTTATTAAATAATAATATTTTGTAAAATTTAATTTTCGTTTTAGTTTCTTAGTTAATTAATTTTTTAATATTGATTTCTTAAATAATTAGCTTAAATATTTATATTATTTTTGTTAGTTAATTATTTTAGTCTTATTTAAGTTTTTTTATTCTCTTACTTATTCTGTTTATATTGATTTTGTCAAATAAATAACATAGATATTAAGTTAATATCCTCTTTTTTGTTAATTTAACTTTCTCAATATAGACTTTCATTTTAATTGTATTGACATGTTGTAAGAAATAATTTATGTTTTGGTTTTTGTTAGTTAACCATTTTTTATATTTCTTTCTTCAGTAATTAGCATAAGTATCATTTTTGGTTTGTTAAGATTTTTGTGTTAATTTTTCAAATATTTTCCCATAAATTATAAGTTTTAAATGACTTTCTTTTTTAATAATTTAAGATGAATGTTTTTTTGGCAGTATTGATATATTTAAATAATAATTTTATATGTTTATATAAAAATTTAATCTTAATATTTTTTCTAAATAAATTACTCATTTAAAAAATATATGCTCAATTTTTTTTTATTTAACTTTTTCGATATTGATTTACATATTTGTTTTTGTTAGTTTTGTTTTTGTGACAATGAGTTTCTATTTTACTTTCACAATAGATTTAGACTTTTGAAATAAATTTATTTTATTTAGTTAAACAAAATATCTTAATTTTCCATTCTATTGTGATAATTTTATATTTTTGTATGTTTTAATTTATTTAAATTATTAATAATATTTTTTATTTTTTATGTTTAATAAAAAACGCTGATATAGACTATTCAGATTGAGTATATATGTCCTATGTGGACGCTCTCATTGACCTAAGACATCAACACGGACCACAACTAATATATTTTAAGTTAGCATTTCGGATTTTAATTGTTTGTCGTGATTAAAATTTTAAAATAATTTAATTATGGTTTTAAATACAGTTTTTAATAATATTGTTCAAAATATATGATTTTTTCATAATCTATTTATATGTTAATTTACCTTTTATTGTTAATAAAAAAATAAGATCTATTTTTAAAACTCTTTTTTATTAATAAAAAAGTTAAAATTTAGAATCTTTCCTAATAACAACAAAAACAAAATTAATTAAAATTTAGAAATTTTTCTTTATAATAATTAAAACGAATTAATTAATTTTAATATATAATATGTAATTAACTAAAAATAATAATGATGTGTACCAATAAGATTGAATCTTTAAATCCTATGTGGACACCCTTAGAGGCATTTAGCATCAACTTTTATTAGTAATAGATTTTTGGTAGTATTGATATTTTTAAATAATAATTTTATATGTTTATATGAAAATTTAATCTTAATATTTTTTCTAAATAAATTACTCATTTAAAAATATATGCTCAATTTTTTTTTTAATTTAACTTTTTCGTTATTGATTTACATATTTGTTTTTGTTAGTTTAGTTTTTGTGACAGTGAGTTTCCATTTTATTTTCACAATAGATTTAGACTTTTGACATAAATTTATTTTATTTAGTTAAAAATTATCTTAATTTTCCATTATATTGTGATAATTTTATATTTTTGTATGTTTTAATTTATTTAAATTATTAATAATATTTTTTATTTTTTATGTTTAATGAAAAACGCTGATATAGACTAATCAGATTGAGTATATATGTCATATGCGGACGCTCTCAATGGCCTAAGACATCAACACGGACCACAACTAATATATTTTAAGTTAGCAGTTCAGATTTTAATTGTTTGTCGTGATTAAAATTTTAAAATAATTTAATTATGGATTTAAATAAAGTTTTTAATAATTTTGTTCAATATATATGATTAGTTTTTCATAATCTATTTATATGTTAATTTAACTTTTTATTGTTAATAGAAAAATAAGATCTATTTTCAAAACTCTTTTTTATTAATAACTAATTTAAAATTCAGAAACTTTCCTAATAACAACAATAACAAAATTAATTAAAATTTAGAAATTTTTCTTATAATAATTAAAACGAATTAATTAATTTTAATATACAATATATAATTAACTAAAAATAATGATGATGTGTACCAATATAATTGAATCTTTAAATCCTATGTGGACACCTTTAGAAGTATTTAGCATCAACTTTTATTAGTAATAGATATGATGTGGACGCCCTCAATGCATTATGCCATCAACTTTTATATATTATATGATTAGTCAATAAATCAACAATGAGTTGTAATGGTGAGAGAGGTCTGACAAGATTTGTAAGCAAAAAAAACAAAAACTACCTCTTCTCCAAAGGACCATGGTTCATGGTCATCAGTGGCAACCTCAGAATGCCCACGACAAAAAGGAAACATAGCTCCAACACCCATCCAACGTCCAAATAGCCGTGGAGTAGCATTGCCACCAAATCCACCGATATCTGGCCCTGATAAAGGCTGACCACTAAGCCCCTGAAAGCAAGTTAATGTTTCATATTTTGACAATTCACACTCAATGTTTTTTAGTTTTGTGATAAGGATGCAATGGACTCTTGAAAGTATTACCAGCTGAAGTATCATGGATATAGACATATGTAGATGCTCCCAAGTTGAAAGGTTATCTCCTGTCCAAGTCGCAGCATATCTCTGGCTACCTATGAATCCAGCCCTTGTCAATACAAAAGGTCGCTTATTCTTATCAGCTAGCTCCATCCCTTCATAAGTTGACCTTGCCATCAGAGTCCCGTAGACCTAGACAATGACAAAATCTTGGCAAAGTTAATAACCGCAGGTACAAAATGCATCTACTTTCAGAGACCTAGACATTTCTCCTTCTCTGTCTCCTCAGCAAGAAAAACTTTAAGAGCAAAAACAGAGAACCATTCGGTGACATTCTTTGTCTAATCATAGACATTCATAAGAAGCTTCATGGAAGCCGCAAGAGAAGTGTAAATAGCAAAAATAGAGAACCATACAGAGACAAGTCATGTATCTTATTTAATAACTAGAATAACCTCATATATGCATAGAGAAAAATTGAAATCTGAGTAGAGCAAGAAAAATACATTGTGGTAGTGTGAGTGATTTTGAACACCTCCAAGCTCATCATCTCCACTGTGAATATTGTTCTCAGGCATTGTCTTTGTCACAGTCTGGGCATTGACAGATAAGTACACATAAAAAAAAAAACTAGTTAAGGATTCTGCTTATAAAAATAACAAAAGATGAAATCAAAATAGATATAATTTACGCTGAAAACTGCTGGCTCATTCATATCATTCCAAATACCATCAACACCATTTGATATAAAGTCTTTAACCAAATTAGCCCACCAAGAACGAGTTTTAGAATTTGTATAGTCAGGGAAAACGCATGGTCCAGGCCATACTTCACCTAATGAAACCAAAAACATATAGAATTTCAGCAATATCTCCAAAATAAACAAGACAAGAAAGCATAAAAGTCATGACACACGAAATGAAAGTACCAATAAATGGCTTCCCATCTGCTTGTTTAACCCAAACGTCATTTTTACATCCGCTATCGTAGACAGAGTAACCTTCCTCCTTCTTTATTCCAGGGTCAAGCATCCATACCGCTTTGAAACCATTATTATGGAGATGTTTTGCTAAATCACTAGGATCCGGGAAACGCTCCTGAACGTCATGTTCCATAAGTTTCTAGTAATATCAATACCTAAACCTAGTCTACGTAAGCACTGATAAAAAAAATAACTTGGAATGATCTCTAAGAAAAAAAAAAACATGCCTTGTCGAATGTGAAACAACGAAAACCGTCCATGTAGTCAATATCCATCCATATCACATCAGCAGGAATCTTCTTGTCACGAAATGTTTGAGCTATCTGCAACCATCAACACAAAGATGAAGGCCTAAAATTTATAAACACTAACCTAAACTTTCATATTCTTCACCAAAAAGCCAGAACATGAACAAAAACACTGACCTCAGCTACTCGCTTCTCTGACATATAACTAAAACGGCATTGATGGTACCCTAAGGCCCACTTTGGAGGCATAAAAACAGTTCCTGTTCAAGTAGGAAATATAATTTATAATTTACTAAACAGAGGCAAAAGAGAGAATAAAAGTAATAATGGGATTAATCCCTAAGAGCAACAGTTGAAATATGAAATGTTTTCATGGCATAAAGAAGCAAAACTAACTAACTAAGTAATTACCTACGACATGCGACAAGGACTCCAAGACGGCAGTGGGTGAAGAGAATGGACCAAATGTGATTATTGGATATGATGGTGGAGCGATTATTCTTATGATTCCATCTTCCCTTAGATCAATCTTAGGGAGCAAGAAAAATATGTTATACAATGAAAAGAGTTAGATTACATTGCAAAGTGGATATTCATATATACATATACACCTCACACTTTCGTGTTGTATCAGCAAGAACACCAAGTGATTCTCCAGTTGGAAGGACCACTAGTACCCATGGATGCGACTGGTACAGTGGAGTGGTTCCAGGGCCATATCCCCATGCATCAGTGTTCCATGTAAAAACCTAAACATTCATGGTAGCCAAAATCAATTAGGTGGAAACAAAAAAAAGATTATGTAATGTAAAGTGCATGACTCACCCGTTTTCCTGTTCTCTCTAACTGGCCACCAACTTCTCCAGTCCCATAAAAGGACGTTCCAGAAGAAAACTGCATTACAAGTTATCATTAAGACTCAAAACTGACATTGTGAGAGATCAGTTTTAGAGAAAATAAAATAGATAAAAAAAGTCTAACCTCAAAAGTGGCGACTTGTTGCTCCTGAAGACAAGCACAAGTAGGAGTATATGCTGGAATATTTTGACTTATAATTGGCAGTTCCCTATCTTTGCTGTTCTTAAATGAAACACTTGGAAATGCGGCTTTCTTATGCTCCACGGAACAGTCAAACCGGAAAACTCCTTCCTCCAAAATCGGCTCAAAAATCATTTCGGTTGCAGCCAACTCTATAGTCTCGGAGTTATCTCCACTTACAGTCATCCTAGCTAAAGGTTTGTTTCTCTTCCTTGTGTATGCAAGGTGGTTGTACTAGTAAGTACTCGTTGTATAAGCCTTTTTTAGTTCCGTATGACATTTTCCAAACACATAATGGCACAAAAAAACCATTAGTCACCATCCAAAGTTTAAATGAAATATATAACACGAGTTATCGACCATCAATCAGAGAAAGACTCTACATAGATTTTCATTTAAACGGTTTAGGCTAAACCTGAGCAAAGTGATGAAGTCATTAGTGGCCATGCAGAGTTTTGATTTGATTTTTGAATTTAGCGTTCTAATAATATCGATATTCACTTTCATCAAAACTTATCAAAATAATATTCCGAAAGAGAGATGCCAAGGATGAACAAAAGCGGTGAATAGAAAGATCATAAATAGCAAAAAAGGAAAAGAAAAAAAATGTAATGGAGCAAGGAACAACCTGAGAGTGCTCTTGACGAGAAGAACGGATCGATTTCAGAGAGGGAAGACAAGGATCATTAAAGAAGAAGGAAGAAGCTCATGCTCCATTAGTCAATGCTGACGATGATAGTGCTGATTGTGTCAGTAATGATCCCTCCATTGGTGGACACTAAGCTCAGTTTTCCTTGTTTATAATTTCCTGATTGATTTTTATATTAGCCTCGTTTCCCACCATCTTTTCTTAATTCAAGTTCCACCATCTTATAATAAAAATAAAATAAATGGCGTTACAAAAAAGGTATTTATATTGAAAAGATTCCATACAAATTAAATTGTCTGAGTATTATGGTTTAAATTATATTATTTTTCCTCTACATGAAAAAGTTATTTTTTATTGATAAAAAGTTACTTAAAACAATGAAATGTTTTAAATTGACATTATTGCCTTTTCTCAATTTACCCCTATGATAGACATTATTTATTTAAAAAACAAAAGTAATATTTATAGCATTTTGCGAATTAAATCCATAAATAGCATTCTAAATTAGCCTTTAGACTGAATGGCTAATTTCAATCGAGAAACCACACTAAAAGCAAGCAAGCAAAGACTCGTGACATATGACAATAAATATAGGTGAAATTTATTTTTCCATAAAACCATAAGAATCTCAGCCGGACCCGAAGCAATCAGTCTCTGATTGGATCCTTCCTCAATTCCTCAAGTTTAGTTTTGCTTGTAAATTGTTTCGCTCGAATATTAGCTTGTTATTGTAATTTGAGTTTCCATAAAATAGGCTATCTATAAGAAAAATATAAAAATTAGAATGAAAAATAAAAAACTCTTTACACATTTTATGTTGTATTTCTATATATGTAGAATCCTTTACTTGAGAAGCCAGTAAAGACTACAAAAAACTCATCTAGCTTTTCTTAGCAAGCTCATGGAATAACAACATTGCATGAAACCACAACGCTGCTTCAAAGGTAATCATTCTCCAAACTCTAGTCAAATTCGACAAAAAAACACAAGCTTCAATGTACATAGCACGTAGCAACAATACGTTAAAGAAAATGATTTGATGTAATCTTTCTCTTGTTAATAAACAGTATAAGGCGTAAAAAAGAAGCCAAAAATGCCGAAAAGAGTTCAATGCAACTGGCGTGAATTTGACCAGACCCGGAGAAACTGGATTCACTCTTCTTCTTTCGGCGAATGAGTGTTAAGGAACCTGATCTTCTTTCGAATCTTTACATATAACAAAAGTGATATGACTAGACATTTTGCATGGGGGCAACGCAAATAAAATATACTTTTCAGGAATTGTTTTCTTGAATGTTATGGCAAATATTGGACTAGTCTTGTACTCTTATATATCAATACCAATTTTCATAAAGTTGGTCTAAAGTGGTCTTGACACATTAGTCCATTCCAATATCCACAAGTCTTAACACATATACAAATGCTTCTAATTAATCTAAATCTGAATTTTATATCACACGATTATGCATATGATATCATATATATAGCAAGGTCTATATCATTATATTGCTAAAAAAATATCATAATTAAAAGAAAAGTGTGATGGAGATTTAATTTAATTAATTAGAGAGACACTTCTGTTTGAAAACTGATATTGGGAAGACAAGAAAAATATATGTTTTTATTGTGTAGAAGATATGAAACGGACAGCTTGTAGGGCTAATACAACCAATTGAAGCTAATTGTTGAAGATAAAGTTATAAACAGAAAAGGTAGTTGTCTTTTACTATCACTATTTCGTTTTGCATTTTTTGTCTGTTTGTTATTATTGCTATGATTTTTTGGGTTAATGATTTGTAATTTTCTTGACCATATTTACCTAATATAATTGGCTCGATCTTTGTAATTACTCATGTTTACAGATTACAACCAATATGATTGTGAATAATATACAAACCTGGAAGTACTAAGGTGTAATTATGACTTTTCGAGATGGTAGGAATCAAGAATTCATCAACAATATACATGAAAGTTCAGTATGCATACTATGATACTAAACATGATGGTATATCTACTATAGTGATGCATGGCTCTATACTATATATCCTTGAAAGAACAAGAAAATTAAATATTCAATTCTTAAAAAAATAACATATCGTCTCATCCATCACACATCTCAAGCAAAAAACATAGTTAATATCTCTCTCACCTTTTAATTATACCATAAATTTCTGGTTTGGAATTGACCTGGTTTTTATCAGAAATTTCAACACTACAAATTAATATGAAACAAAGACATTTATATAAAAATGAATAAATAAATCAAATAGATAATGTTAACAAATTGAGACAATGGAACCGAGTTGGAAAAGTTAAGAAATGACGAGTTAGTGGAGGAGGACAAAAGTAGAGTCAGAATTAAATGAAGATGAGCTTAAGAACGTGTATTTATGCAAATATTCAAAGAGTTGCATGAGGTTGGGCACGTGAACTTGCTTCACTCTTCAACCTACAAGTGGACCCAGCTCCATCCATGCGCCAATCCATTAATACTTGCATTTATATTTGGGCATTTTTCTAACATGCTTGAGTCTTTAGATGAGGCACCCGCACTTCGCTATGTGCGGGTTATTTTCTAAATAGTTCGTAAATAAATGTATTTATGTTCTTTTGAATAACATATTACATGCATTTGCGTTAGCTAATTACTTGTTTTTATATATATTTGGTTATTCTTAAAATGCATCTTCCTGCAAGTCTGTTTCTTACACAAACTGTTTTCCTCTTCTTTTTTTTGTTAAAATGGCAGTGTTAGTTTTTAAATTATATATGTCCAAACTTGGAGTAAAACTCAGATGTAGAACATGCTTAAATGTATGTTTATATTTTATTGGCATTTTTTTGTTTGGTTAAGTTTTATGTTTTGTTTCTTATACATATATATAATTTATCTGTATAATTCAAAGGTGATTAACTTCGATATATTAGTTGTTTAAAAATTTCCCTAACCGTATTTTTTTTATTTTTCTAAATTGTTCTATCAAAGTATTATATAAATTGTAAGCTAAGGGAGATAAAGAGTGTGTGTTTATAATTTGAATATGTGATGATGTATTAAGCATGGGAGATGCTATCTTCATCTTTATCTATGAGTAAACCTGGTTAGGTTTTTGTATGTCTAATTGTACGTACACCCACAAACAAAAAACTGTATGGTGTAAACCATATTCTTTTTATACAATAACAAGTATCCTTTGCACGTAGGATTCCGACAGGGTTTCATGGTGTTTGGACACTTTGTAAGTGTGTTGGAGGTTGAGCTCAAATGTATAGGTGTGGGATTGTCGCTTCTTCCTTTGTTCGTACGTGCAGGTGTTTGCATGTCTATAAATGTATGCGTGTGTATGTATATAGGTGGGTGTCCAACATATCTGGAATTGATGAGGCAGTTGATGGTAAAGATGAAAGAGAGGATGGAGAAGATGAAGAGGACAATGAGACAACAGAGAGCAAAGCTTCATATTATCAGAATTTGCATCACTTTGCTTCTCTCTTCTGATGATAACTCTTGATCTTCATTTGTTGTTAATTTTGATCTTAGACTGTTTTGTTTTTTAATCTTTTCTTTCTTTACCAGGCATCAGTATTTTTGCGTTTACATAGTGTATGTAATCGTTGGACTTGTACAAATATTTTAAGCTTGCATAAATACAAAGAAATGTGATTCAATTTCTTTTCAATTTTCAGCGACATAATATCCTCAAGATCTCATAGTCAAAATTTACCTGCCAAAATATATATATGTTTTTACCTGCCAAATATAGTGTACCCGCTAAAGTCTAAATTCACCCCAAATTTTTGACGAATGATATAATTATATATGTAGTACTAGCTTCTGTATATATGCAAGTACTCGTGTGATACTGTGATTGATAGAGTTTACAGATGCACTTATAATGGCTATAACTATTTGGATATAAAATATATCACTTTATTTTGGATTAGTAAAACACTATCAAAATAATAGAATAAATAATAGTCGTTTAATTTATTTTACATCAACATTAGTTCAATTAAAAGGCCAACACTTAAATTACATGCTATAACAAAATAAAATAAACAAATAATTGTACTCGATAACCCGACCAGTACCAGCACCAATGGGTAACAGCTGCGTGAGGTATCACCACCTATCCATATTATTATTATATGTTACCTTATGCGGCGTATTATGAAACACATACGTGTACAACCATATGAAGTAGAAGGAACCAAGACACAACTGCTTAGCTTAAGTTCTTTTTTATGTCCCACACATCTACACTTAGTGAAAGGGATTACACAAACGCATGATCCAAGACCCGACAATTACTTGAGTTGTGTTCGTTCTTGATTCAAATCTAGGGGTGTTAATCAGGACAATCCAACCCGATTCAGTCCCGATTTTGAATTATTATCTAAAATATCTTGCGAGTCTAATGCGAATTTACTCCAGTATCACAACCCAACAACAAGAAAATTTAAAAACAAAGAATGAAGAACTAAAACATGATATATCATTGGTCCCAATCTGACTTTTTCTTCACAACTTTACAGCTTCGGAGCTAGGGCTTCTTTTTCATTGACACCTAATATCTTTATGTATATTCTTGATTTTAGAATTTCTTGTAAAACAAACTAAGATTTACGTCTAATTATTTATGAAATGTTTTAATGTAAGTTCATAACAGATTTTGTGTTTAAGCATCTACTCAGACTTTCATCCTATAAACCCACAAACTTAACTATATCAACTTTTCTGTTTTGTTAGGGACCAAAAAAAAGAGAAAATGGAGAAATAGTCTCAAACTTAGAATTGTCAAATCGGGCAAAATCGTACAAAAATATGCATGTAGTAACATGCTCTATATTTGAGCACTACGAATAGGAATAATATATATGTACAAACACGTAACTGTGCAACTAATTTATCATTACCTTTTTTTCCTTTTCTTTTGGATAGAAAATGTGATAAGTTAGAGTGATAGGTGAAGGCAAAGACAGTGAAGGTAGAAGACAAGAGAAGGAAAACAAGTAAACTCAGCTTTGTCTTGTCATCTTCTGTAGAGTGGGATTCCACTTTTTTTGTTCTTGTCACCTCTCTCTCTCTCTCTCTCTCTCTCTCTCTCTCTCTCTCTCTCTCTCTCTCTCTCTCTCTCTCTCTCT